GGGGGGGGGCCAGCGTTAGCTTGCCCGCGGCTCCACGCGAACTTGTGGCGGAGCCGGACCCGCTTTCCTTGCGCTGTCTCCCTGCTCCCCACGTTGCTTCGCTTGCAAATCCCTTTAAATCTCTGCACGTGCGGCGGTAAAAGCCCCCCCTCCCCGCCCGTGGGACAGCGCTCGGAGGGCTGCCGGTAGATGAGGGCAGGGTACGTGCCGAGCGCTGTCGGTGTCCCCGTTTCCCTCCCGGGTGTGTAAGGCAGCCCCTCTGTGCTTAGACTGCGCTGGCCCAAAGGCTTAGACACTGGCTACAGAGCAGCAAGGTGAGATTTGGCTTCTTTTCGTTATGATTATTTTAAATAAACCCAACGGCTGCATCTGGACTGGCAAGCTTTTCTGGAAAAGCGGCTGCTTTTGTGCAAAACCTTGCCAGCTGTCTACACTGGCCGCTTGATTTTGCGCAAAAGCACTGACCTTCTACTGTTTGAAATCAGTGCTTCTTGCGCAAATGCTTTGACATTCCTGGGCAAAAGCCCTTTTCTGGAAATGTTTTTGTGCAAGAGGGCCAGTGTAGACAGCTAAAAACTGTTTTGCGCAAAAACGCCCCGATGGTGATCGGGGCTTTCTTGTGCAAAACCGCGTCTAGATTGGCATGGACGCTTTTCCGCAAAAAGTGCTTTTGCGGAAAAGTGTCCGTGCCAATCTAGACGCTCTTTTCCGCAAATGCTTTTAACGGGAAAAACTTTTCCGTTAAAAGCATTTGCGGAAAATCATGCCAACCAACATGTATCTTGGAGGTAGGCTATCTCCGTTAGGCCCTGATCCTACAGTTGGCTCTGGTAACTCCTGCAGAACGTTATTTGAAGTCAGTTGGGTAAGAGGCTCACACTCTCAGATCTGTTTGTAGGATTAGGATTTAGCACTATAATGATCTGTGCTTTTTCTCAGTTGCCCACTGAAATAAGTGCTGTGTAGAAGGGCACTGATTTTGGTCAGTTCGGCTCACAGGTTTACTGTAATGATCCTGGCCACCATTCCTCTATTATATATACAAAATTGAGAGAGTCTGTCTGAGTGGGTTCAAGTCATCCTAAATGTAAAAGCTAGGACCAGCAAATATGGTATGCAGATGCTGCTTCTTATCATAATTTCAAAGCAAGGTAAGGGTTTGGTTGTGCCAGAACAATGGGATTTGCCTGAAATACTATGGGTTCTCATAAAACACAAAGGGACAAGTCTGCTATAGGCTCAGTTATGCTGCGGAATGACCACAGGAGGGCAGGTCCACTGATAAGAGAGTGGCTGGCCGAGGGCAGGATTCTTGATGTTGCTGGCCACGATAGACAGATAAGGTTCCTGTGCTGGTGAGCTGGCCAACCTCCTGCACCCTTGCTTCCCCTTTCCTGAGTCCCTTCTTATCTTCCAACTCTGACTCCTGCACCTCCATACCCCCTGCCTCTAGTACCCCCAACTCTGAGTCCTGAACCCTCGGCCCCCTGTCCTGAGCCCCTCCTTAATGACCCAAGCAACACTGGGTAAATGTGCTAGTGCTATCTAGTTAAAAGTTTAAACAGTATTTTCATGTGTACAAATGTTTAAGAAAAAAGGGTAGGTTAATCGAAAATGAAAATCGGTGTTTAAAAAAAGTAAGCATTTAAAAGAGGAAATGTTTAAGTATATTTTATGCTACTCAGGAAACAAACTTTAACAAGAATAAAGAAATATATTAAGTCATAATCAAGAACATTAAAACTGTTTTCGTCTTTTATTTCAAAACATGAACTCTGTGCACAGCCCTGCTGAATTGGAGATAAATGCCACACTGATACACAAATGTCATCCCCAAATCAAGTCCATGTACCTAATATATCAAACAACTATAGTGTAGTGTTTTCTCTTTTAAACACATTTTTATCTAAACATTCTTTTTGAAAACTGAAAAATATGTATTTCATATTTTACAGTATTAAAGTTAAGTAGCAAAATCCAAACAGTAAAAATAAATTTTAAAATGTATAATTTATTGGTCTGTTTTTAAGATTTCTCTTAGCAATGCTAAGCATTCTTTTAAAAGGCATATTTTTATTTCATTCAGCATTGCAAATGTGCAGCTATTGACTTCTTTGGACGCTACTTTGTCTAATCAACGGATATAGCTTCTTGCGCTTAAACGTATTTTTCAGGCTGTTTGACTGTCATGGTGGTTCTGTACATGGAGTTATTAAAAACATGGTATTTGAAGTGAGGAATCTACAAGAGACAATCTGAATCAGGTTCATCCAGTTTTCCCCACTTGTTCTGTAGTTTGAGACAGGGCAATAATTTGAGTATGTTCATGGTGATAGGAGATACAAATCACATTTCTTAGCCCAAGTAATGCTAAAGCAGAAACAAAATTCTCAAATTTCAGAACAAATTTTTTATTCAAGTGAGATGATTCTCTGTAACAGTATATGTGAGTGACTCCAGGGAAGAAAGGGGTGGGGAGATATAGGAAAACTTCTAACTGGACCGGTTCGTGGGTGAAACTGCACATTTGAGCCACAATAAGTCCCACTTACAAAGTTTCAGTCACTTGCTCCTATTAGATCTTTCCTGTTCGGAAGATGTTTTCTCTCTTGTGTCTCAACCCGTTTTGATACTAAGTTAGGTTCAGATATTCCAAACATGGCTATGGTAAAAGACCCTAGATGGATAGAAAATATTCTTAAGTTTGTCATGCAGGAGTGAGACAATACTGTTATACATTCTGTTAGGCACAGTGCATAATATTCAACAATGCATTGCTATGCAATGTAATAAATCACATATGCAAATGCTCACAGGGGGGGGTCTTGTGATATGGAGTGGGAGAGGTGGAATGGTACAGTGAGAAGGACTATGTAACAGTTGAGTTCCAGTGGGGGAGAATAGGGATAGGATTGCCCATCAGCCACATATTTCCCTCTTATGTGTGCTGGCAGCTGGGGAAGAGAGCCTCTCTTAGGGGAAGAGGCTCAGACCTCCTCTCCCTCACCTTTGTGTTTCTGAAGTCTTGTGATATGGAGTGGGAGAGGTGGAATGGTACAGTGAGAAGGACTATGTAACAGTTGAGTTCCAGTGGGGGAGAATAGGGATAGGATTGCCCATCAGCCACATATTTCCCTCTTATGTGTGCTGGCAGCTGGGGAAGAGAGCCTCTCTTAGGGGAAGAGGCTCAGACCTCCTCTCCCTCACCTTTGTGTTTCTGAAGCTGTCAGATCCTCTGGAGGGGGTCTGACTACCCCTTTCTTCTATGTCCCCTTCATGTGGGCCAGATATGGGCTTGACTCAGACATTTTTGGAAGGGCTTTGCTCCCTGTATGTGTGCTGGGATTTTGGTGATTTTGGGGGGAGAAATGGGGGGGTACCTGTGTATGTCTGTGGGGGTCTGACTCCCACCGAAACGTGAACTCAATTTGTGGATTTGCCTTTTAGTTAGGGTGGCATAGGCATTTCTCTACTGGCTACTCACGTGAGCTGATATTGGGGTGGGCAGGTCTGGACCCACCTCCCTGTTTCATCTCATCCCCTGCTCATCTAGTTCAAAAGCATAGAAACAGATACGCTTGGAGCAGTGGTTGTCATGCATTTTTGGCCCATGAATCACCTGGCTCAATGTAAACCTTTCCACGGACCACCAGTTGCTAATAGAAACTCACAATTAATTACATAATTACACCCGAGCCATTTTGCTAGTGTTGTAGCTAGGGAGAATGATTTAAATTAAATCAATTAAACAGGTTAAGCATTTTAACTTTCTCATGTTAGTTTATCAAACTTAATTTTAACTAAAGTAAAATATAAATTTATGTCAAACACACAAGGTTTTGATGTTTTCTTTATTTATGGAAGGGGTTACCTTCTCTGCCAGACCCAGTGATAGGGGAGAGAGGCAGAGCAAGTGACTCCATGCGCTGCCATTTCTCCTCCAGCTGGGGGAGCAGCAGTGAGTGGAACTGTTGCTCTGTCCCTCTTCTTGAACCAGATCTGGTGGTGAAGGTCAGGACTTTCTTCACCCCTCCCACCCCCACCATGAGCCACTCAAGTGAACCACCTCTGCAGGCCACACTTTGAGAAGCACTGGCTTAGAGCATAGACAAAGAACACTCTGCTGAGACTGGGGTGCAAATTAAAGAGGGCATATTTGATGAATATCGTGGGCTCTTTAGCACTCAGTCAGGGAGATGCCACACCCACTGATGTGACTGGAGCATTTCACAAAGGAGTTACAGATTCAGGCTTTGGGGTATGGTCTTTCAGCTGGGAAAATCTTGTTGAGATGAATGGTCCTTTCATACCTGTCGGGGCCTTTCATGCTTCAGATGGATGTTTGGAGTCCTTTTCCTCTTCCTTCTGATTTTTATATAACTATAGAGTTGCATCAGCATGTTTACAGGGATTGTCTTGAAATTTGCAATGGCTCATGAGATCATAGGATAGGATTTGTGATGCAAATGTAGGTACTTTTTTCTTTGATCACCGGCATTGAGGGGCCCCGACTGACATCTCATATCCTGTTAATTCTTAATAATCTTTAGTAAAGTGTTTTGGCAAAAAACAAACAACTAGGGCTTCTATGTTTTGATTGGCTAATTTTCAAAAATTGAATACAGCTTGACAGCCTCTACCAAACTTTGGCTCAGTGAGAACTGAAACGGTCCAGTTGTTGTACTAGTCTTTTAAATGCATTGGTTCTGCCAGTTGCTGCAGCAATATAGAATGTTAGTGGCATGGATATTCATGTTCTCCATCAATAAAGATGAAACAAATAGTATATTCAGGAACTGAATGGCTGTGTTATTGTAAAAAAGCATCAGAAGGAGGTATTGTTTTTTTCAGTACAGATATCTGTGAAAGACTAGTCATTAGAAATTTTGTTTGCTTTAGATGCTTCCATTATACCCTCTACTACTGTGTCATAGCATAACTTTCTGTTTGTTCTGAAGCATGAGAGAACTAAAATGTACTTTTGTGTTGGGGCGATGGAATCAGTATGTGCGCTAGTTAGAAATGAATAGCCGTAGTCACTTCACTTCCTTGGCTTCTGGATAGATTCCAATTTTGGGATAAAACTGAGTGACAGGAATATGAATAGATTGAGAAGAGAGGCTGGCTGACTGAAATGGGGGGAAAAATGCAAACAAAAAAATTACAAGTATAAGAAGGTAGTTTAGTAAGTCATCAGTGAAATATTTATCCATTAACCAAAATCCAGCAAAATTATAGCTGGAGAATATATATTTAGCCTTTGTGACAACTTTTACTTTCTGAATACAATATAAATAAATTGTAAGATTTCAGATTTTTTTTCTTTAATCAGTGTGATATAGTATGATTTGTAGAAAGCTCTTTTACTTAATTGCCTGATAGAATTTGAACAATCTGCAGTTAAGTATTGGAACATTACATATTAAAGTTTAAGTTATACATTTTATGAATTCCAGTTTACCACAGCCATTTAAATGAGATGACCTCTTCTTTCAGTCCTATTCTTTCTGTCACTTCCAACTTGTTAGAATATAAGCAAAAAGGTAAATGTTCTGTTACATTTTACTGCATTTTTAGGGTTAACTTTTAAATGGCTATATTGCCTGTTTATAAAGAGGTCTTGCAGTGAGTTTTGTCTGAAGTACCGTTTTATTATGGCAGATCCTGTTATAAAACATCTCAATGTTTCTCATATTTAGTCTATTCATTGGTGAACTAGCTCAAATACCTTAACTAAACTTTCAGATTTTTCTTCTTGGTAAAGAACAGATCTTCCATCCACTATAATTCTTCATTGTCACAAGACCTCTTTTCTTTATTACCCCAACTTCCTTTGGGAATCACAGAAAATGGAATCTTAATCCTTGTTCTTTCAAGACAGGCTGAATTTGTTTCCTTCTTTCCAGCATAATCTTTTTTGTTTGCTTAATGTGGCAGAGAAGTGAGATACAGGTTGGACCTTCCTGGTCCAGCACCCTCAGGACCTGATCTGTCCTAAGGAGGGAATTTTCTGGATTAGGTGAGGTCCCCTGCCACCTTTGTCCCACGACACTGCTCCTCCATTCAGCTGGCTCCGTTCCATCCCTGCTGCAACGGGGCTTGGGCTTGGCTCTGGCCTGCTGCTGCCAGCCAGCTGGGGCTCTCTGGGGGGATGGATCTCTCCAGCTGCCATGGCCCAGTAGCTGCAACCAGCCTGGTCTTCCTGGGGATGGGACTCCGTGGCTTTCCTGCTGCTGGCGTTTTGGGGCTTTGCAGCTGCCCTGTTATGCTGCACCTGGCTGGGGCTCCCTGAGGATGGGGTTCTGTGGCTTTCCTGCTGCTGGTGTGCAGGGTTGGGGCTTTGCAGCTGCCCTGTTATGCTGCACCTGGCTGGGGCTCCTTGGGACTGGGCTTGTTGGTCCCGCTTCTGCTGCATCTAGCCGGGGCTCCTGGATATGGGGCTCATTGATTACGGTAGTAGCGTGCTCTCAGGTGCCGGGCCTCTCTTGTCCAGCAGCATCCATGATCCTGCCAGACCACAGATGTTGCTGGACCAGAGAGTCCTGGATTTAGGAGGTACAACCTGTACTATCAAGGTCAATATTTCATTCTGGATCACTGAACTTCCATAGAGTGCAATGTTGTGCACCAGGATCACTTTTTTCTAGATATTTGTTAATGAAAAGTGTGATCTACTTGTCATGGTCATGATCCTCAGATTTGTTCAAATGTTGCTATGGAGAACCCAAAACATAATTGTATGATAAAAGGTAATGTGTTTTTGTAGAAACAAAAGGAAGGGTTGTAGTCCTTCTTTGTAGTCAATTTTAGTACTTCCCACGGGGTGGTGAGGCTGATGTATTTTAAATATTTTTTTAAAAAAAGATTATACATTTTAAACTAAATGAATTGAGTATCCAAACATTAGCTTTGATTAAAAAAAAGTGTGTATTAGACAATATAATTCACAAAGTGTACTCTTCAAGTTCTAGCTTTATTTAATGAAAATACCTTTTAGCATTGTCTCTGAAATAATATCTCATAGTAATAAGTACTTTGCAATTTCTAAAATGTGGTAGGTTCAGAAAAGTTGTATACATGGTCTAGAGGTAATTCTGCTGTGTCAGAAATAAATAATCATTAAATGCGTAAAAAATCTTTGTAGAGAGAGTCTCTTCAAAATGTCACGAAACTTGGTTTGGCCTTTTTCTAGTCACTTAAAATTAGACTTTCTTTAACTTGTGTGTGGTTGTTTCATTTTATTGAATTTTAATTTTTATAGTTTTTATTCAAAACACTAGAGAAAGGTAAGTGGAATATAATCAGAAGGATGTTCTGCAAAAATACTTGTCTATTTTAAGCTATCTTCAATATCACTCATGTCTATTTGTTTGCATTTAAAATGAATTCCTAAATGAATTCCTATCATGCTTAATTTTAGCTGATTCTCTTAAACATAATATTACATTATGCTTTTATTTTTGTTTAATTTAGGCTTCATTCTGGATTTAAATCTTGACAACAGTGACAGAGAATTGTTAAACAAATGTTGGACCCTCTAGGAATTTTCTTTTGTAACTCCTGTACAACTGTCAGCAGATCATCTTTCTTGAATAAAGCTGCTTATTCATGAAGTTTTAATCACCATGAATTCAGGCTTATGGAGTCAAGAAAAAGCCTATTTTTTATTTGCTTCTTCAGGAATGCAGTGTCTTAGACAAACAGACTCAAAAGCTTTTGAAAGTACCCAAGGGTAGCATAAGCCAGTTTATTCAAGATCGTTCTGCTGTAGGACATGGCAGAAATATCCCTTCTAAAGGAAAGAAAATGCAGATTGGTTTAAAGCTTCTGGAACAACCACACGCAGTCCTGTTTGTGGATGAGAAAGATGTTATAGAAATAAATGAGAAACTAGCTGAATTGCTCTTGGCTATTACCAACTGTGAGGAAAGATACAGTCTATTTAAAAGCAAAAGCAGACTAAGTAAAGGCCTGCACATAGATGTTGGCTCACCTGTGAGAGTACAGCTGAGGTCGGGAGATGATAAATTTCCGGGAGTTGTTCGCTTCAGGGGACCTTTGTTACAAGACAGACTATTGTCAGGGATATTTTTTGGAGTAGAACTACTGGTAAGTTTCTGGCATGCTTGATACATTAGCTTAAACTCTGTGTCAGTTGAATTTGTAAAAAACATGGTATCCATGCAGAAGGTCTAGATGCCTTGTAATTACTTAAAATTGCATACAAAATTTACAGAAAGCATTGATTCTTATAGTACACTTAAATTTATGGGTGTTTTTTTATTGTTCTTAAATAAGGCTCCAATTCAGCAAAGTAGTTAAGCACATAACTTTTTAAAGCATATATATAGTCCTGGAACTGAGCCAATGCGACTGCTCCAGTTACCTGTTAAAATACATTACTGAATCAGGTCCTAATTGTTGACTGGAATTTTTCCAAGATGATGCATTATATTCCCTACAAAAATATTTGTAACCTTTAATTTTTTTCCAAAATCCAGGAAGAAGGTCGTGGCCAAGGCTTTACTGATGGACAGTACCAAGGAAAACAGCTTTTCAGATGCGATGAGGATTGTGGAGTTTTTGTTGCTTTGGACAAATTAGAGTTGGTGGAAGATGATGACAATGAACTGGAGAGTGACTATGCAGCTCCAGTTGACACGATGCAGGTAGAACTTCCACCTTTGGAGATCAACTCCAGGGTTTCTCTGAAGATAGGAGAAGGTATAGAGTATGGGACAGTTATATTCTGTGATGTCTTACCAGGAAACGAAAGTTTAGGATACGTTGTTGGAGTGGACATGGTAAGAAAATCTGATTTTAATAATGTTTGCATGTGTATGTTAGTGAAAGTACATGCAATTAGAAGATAAACAGGTATCTACAAGTTACTTCAGTGGAGGCTGTTGACATGAAAGAGGGAAACCAACACCAACGTGTAAAGATAGCATTCAGCAGATTTTTGGCACGAGGTAACAATATAATATTTGACTCCCAAACAGTTTAGGCAGACTAGTCTGATCAAGTTGCCTCCACTGAGTTACTTGCTTTGCTAGCTATCATGTGAGGCTTGGTGGTATCAAACTAATGGTGTGGCTTGTGAGTATGATTTGATGTTTATTTTGCTCTTAGGGAAATATACTGGATTACTTTTCCCTCTTTATTATGTTTTGGGTTTTATTTTGGTATAATCAGTTTGTATGCATACTGTGTTTTTTGTTCTGTATTTACAATAACATTGAAGTTTTGAAGAGCAATACTGTACTTACCTATAAAACTCTAAATATTTTCTCTAACTTTAGTTATCATTTCCACCTTAGTTTAAACTTACTCTTAGCAATTTCTGAAAAATTTACTTCAAATAAAAAAAGATACCCATACTTTTGATAGAAACTGCAAAATGTCCAGTGATTGTTAGATAATGTAATTATTAGTACAGAAAGAAAAACTTAAATGGCACATTCATGCAAACAGGAAATACTTGTGAGATGAACTGGAAAAGGCAGTCTTTTAAAGCCCATATGTGTTATAAGTAATTGGAATATAAAAAGCACAAGAGCCTTTCATGAGTGCTCTGCAAACACCTAATTAAGCCACTTCATGAATAATTGTATCAGCTGTGGTATTTTCATATTAATTGGTATTAAATCAGGGTTGACTGTTTTTAAATGTTATCTTTAAGTAGTTTCTGTTCAATTTACTAATGATGACATATCTGTTACATGTTTAAAATATTGTAACATAACATTATCTAGTGTCAGCACTCATGGATTCTGAGAATGGAGTAATGTGGATTTTTAAAATATCTGTAGTTGCAATTTTGCCAAACAAGAACTTATTTTTTCAAATTTTGCATTTTTTTCCACTTGTGTTACATATAGTCAAATCTGCAACTAACACAAATGTGTGTGTGTTTTAAATGTGGTTAATACTTAATTTTTTTTAAAAAGGATAATCCTATTGGGAACTGGGATGGACGATACAATGGAATACAGCTCTGCAGTTTTGCAAGTGTAGAAAGTACACTTCTCTTGCATATCAATGATGTTATCCCAGGTATGCTTTGTGCATCTGAAAAACACTTGGCTATGTAAATCAGTGCATAAGGATATAATTGCAAAATAAGTACATTAACAGTTTGAAATATAAACTACTGATTAGCTTTCCTTGGTAACTGAAACCCTTTCTGTTTATGCAATAAACGTTTGAGTGGAGAGGAGTTTCGATCAAAGGCACTGAGTGGTGTCAGTGCACCCATTCTTGAAAAGCTGCTTATTAATCAGATTGTGTTGAACCACTTGAATACCTTGAACAGGCCGTTTCTTGTATATATGAAGATTAGGTCATCCAGTAGAATGCAAATAATTCTATGTGATCTACTAGTATAATGCATTGCATGAAGAAAATACCCACAGTAAAGGTTTGAGAAATTCCAGTTAAAATTAGTGAATGCATAGTGTTTGTTGTTCATAACAATCCAGTGAAGTAACCTGCAATAATTGCAGCCCTTTGATGCTGGGGTGGGCAGCTTTTTTTGGTTCAGGTAACGCTGACCCACAGAAAAATCAGTCAAGGGCTGAACACAAGTGAGAAGCAAAAAAAACCGCAAACCAAATCTCACTAATGTGGCCCCTGACTGAGAAGAAGCAAGACACTTCCCACATTCCTCTAACACACCAGAGCCTAGTGGGGCCCAGGCTAGTAGATTTTGAGGCTATGGGAGGCTGGAGCACCAGTGTGGGATCCCTGGTGATGGAGGGGGGGGGGGAAGGAAGCACCAAGTCTCTGGGGCTGGATCCAGGCAAGCTGGGGGCCACAGTCAGCCTCAGGTCTTAGATTTCCCACTCCTGCTTGAGTAGATACTTCACAAACTAGGGATGTGAAGGACTAGTTGATAGGATAGTCAACTAGTCACTTCCCCACCCTTCTGCTGTCTCTATCAGATAGAGGCAGCAAGCAGCAGAGGAGGGGAAAAGAAGGGGCACTTCAAAGTGGCAGCACTGCTTGATGCCTGGGGCTGAACCCCGGACTCCACATGGTGCTGCCGTTTTGAAAAGCTGCATACAGCCCAGGACAAGCTGGGGTGTCCCCAGCACGTGGCATTTCAAAGCGGCAGCACTGCGTGGAGCCCGGGATCAGCTGGGGACTCCCCGCTGAACTCTGGATCCATGCTGCACTTTTGCCTTTGAAGTGTAGCATCAGCTCGATACTTAACATCCTTATCACAAACTACTAAAAGTCAGTTTTTAAAAAAAATTTTCTAGTTCTGTTTAAAGTTCTACATTTCATATGGTAACCAAAATTCTGAGCTGGAATATGTAACCACCTAACTAAAAGTTGTTACCTTTTAGTATTTTATACAGAGGTAGGAGGGAAAGAAGCTAGCATAGTTGCAGTTTACACAGCTGTCGTATTTAATTGCTACTTTCTCTCACTCTATTATTTTTTTCCCAGTAGTACATTTATCCTGAGAAGTGATGTAAAATGGCACATGTACATAATATCACTCATAGAAGCATTATGTTCATCTCCTACTCATTTGTTGAATTTGCAGTGCATGGAGTTCATTGGATTCTTTTGTTTTTCTTTCAGAAAAACAAGCATATTATTGGCAAAGAGTGTTTATTGTAGCATAGCTGATAAAATCATAAGTATTCAAACTTGAAGGCTTCTTTTGTGTTTCAACTATTGACATATGTATTTATACTTTTGAATAAGACTTCTAATATCACAGAACCTGAATTCATTGGGTTTAGTTTTATTGCTTTTAAAATAAATGTAGACTTCAAAGTACAGCAATAATTTATAGTACTTTAACTTAGCAAATACAACTGTGTGTGCCTTTTTAGTCCTCCAAAAATTAGGTTTTGCACTGCTCAGATTTAAGTTGTAATTCCCAAATATACATGGTATTTAAGCATATGACTGCCTCTCTTTGAGCAGATAAATAGTCCAGCTTATTGTAATGGACTTACATGCATAATATTATACATATGTTTAAATGCCTTGTTGACTTGGAGCCTAGCAGTTCAAAAGGAATGACTTTAAGGCTTTTTATATATTTAATATTTTTTGTGAACAGTGTAATGGTAAATTGTTGGAACTTAAGTGGCACTATAGACCTGGATCATGTTAATGGAAAACCTTTCAACCCCCCCCCAAGTATCTTCAAGAGATGCTAGTTTGGATGGATGGGCAGACATAAACTAATATACTCTAGGAGAAGTCACTGATGTGTGTTTAATTGTACAACGCCTGGGGGGGTTGAACACCTAAAATGTAAATGAACTATCCTGATTCAGAAACATCAGGATTTTTTTTCACTTGAACTCTTCAAAAGATATGTTGCATATTCCAAATCTTCTGATGTTGTGCAGAAGAAATGTTGATTTTTGTGCTTGCATGATAACTTGCTGTTTTCAATGAACTACATATATAATTGTGCACAAAAGAGGAGGAAATGAAACCAATATCATATTTAAATTATTGCATGCCCTGTTTTTAAAAAATCCCTTAATTTTTGTCAATACTTTCTGTGAGTGTGTGTGGGAAATCATATTATATTGGGGCAAGGAGAGGAAGAGTTGTTGTTTTTTCATTGGTTTGCAAGTAAGTGGTGTGTATTGATTGTTTTTTTTTGTTTTTTACACCATATGCAGAATGAGACCCGAATTGACACACAGACCAAGTAGAGCCTACCAAATGTATAAGATTCTGACCTTGTATTTCCAAGCTTGAAATCTTTGACGTTTGGTTTTTAATAAGAGACATGTTGATGCAATGTTTATTTTACTGACTCTTGGTAGTAGAAATAGATGGCCATTATTTTTCTTTAAAACCTTTAAAACCACAGTACAATAAACTTACTTTTGCTTTAAAGCATATGATATGTTATGTTTGCATTTGTGTGAAAAAACTAAAATTCTATCTCTCTGCTTATTCTAGAGACTGTATCACAGGACAGGAGACCTTCCAAACTTGCCTTTGCTTCAAGAGGTGGCGGTGATAAAAGCTTATTCAATCATAGTAAGCAAAAAATCACAGGTACTTAAGAAGTAAAATTACTCTCAAAAACATAGTCCATCTTACTTTATTTTTAGGGACCTCTTTATTTTATTTTTTTTGTTCATCTGGTCCTCTTTGACACTTGAAGTGAGTCCTTTTTTGAAATAATGATCAAGATTTCAGGTGAATAAGTAGCAAATGTGCTTCCATGAAAATGCCCATAGGAAAAAACACTTGCAGGGAAATGCAAAACCATTATTCCATAGAAGCAGAATACAGTGCTAAATACATTTTCTGGTTTTCCTTGAAATTCAGTTGGTTGTAAATGTTAGAGAAGAAACAGGCGACCCAGGAGCAGATGGGGTAAATGGAATTGCTTTATTGCCTACACACGTTTACCTTGGACATTCAACACAACGTCTGGGTGGCAACAAGTTGGCAGTAGTTAGAAACTTTTATCTGTATTAGTATGTTAATTCACACGTCTATCACTACTTTTCCTAAACCTTATTTAATAATGTTAACGCCCATAAAATGAATATAGTAAGGAAATAATGAATACAATTATACCTGCCCCTAATTATGGTTTATATAATTTCTAATTGAATCAACATTTTTATACTACAAACTAACAGGTTATAGAGATTACAAGGAATTTGACCCTGAAGATACGTTACGCAGAGCCAATGAGGATAAGCAAGACACATAATAAAATAGAGCAACTTCATACTTATCTGGTTTCCCAGGCTACAGAACAGAGAGAGAGAGCATGTTTATACGTCAAAGGATAATATTGGTTGCGACCGGACCCTTAATCTATCTCCCCAAACTACAAAAAACAAAAGGAAAAAGCATGTTTAAGGGTAATGCTATTGCTGATCCCTGAACAACTAATGCTAAGGCCATTTCAGACCTATTAATTTTTACACACCCCGACACTAAATAGTTTTTGAAAGATTAGACTTTTGTCAGTAAATGTTGGTAAATGCCAATTTTTCACTTTTTCAAAAGCCTTCCCCTCCCCAACAAAAAACAAACCAACCTTCTATTGATGATTGTAGATAATCAAAGAAAGAAAAATGCTGCTTGAACTTAATTTGGTTAAGAATATTTACTTTTGAGACCCAATACTGATTTGTTTTGACAGTGTTAAAACTCTAAAATTTTGAATCTCAATGTCTGCATTCATTAAATAATTTTGAACTCCCTCTATATCTTAGCAAATGTAAAATTTAAATACATTGAAATGCTTAAAATATATATTGCGACAAAATTGTAGTAATTTAAAAAAGAATCCGTTTCCACCAAGCCTAGTTGTAAATTCCCATCTTGAAAGTTAATATTTTGTAAAATACGGCCCCCCCTCCCCCCCGCGCTCCAATCCTACATTGAACTCTGAGTGGATGTCAGAGCATGACTCTGTGCACACATAGGAAACTACCTGGATATCAATGTGGAATTGGACTTTAGTTTGGATTTTAGTTTATGCTCATATATGTCATAAAAATTTTACTTATTGCTAGTAATTTATACTATTTAAAATATCACTTTTTGCAGTGCAACTTTTTGCTATTCTGATTGTTGATTTAAAATTTCATCTTGGACAATGAAAATAGTTTTAGGAGCTATGTTACCTTAGCACAGACTTCAAACTATGTTGTCATTGCTGCAGGAGTGTTTGTTGGCCCTGCAAAGTGGTAGATAGGATTGCTCTTAAGCAAGATACTAATGAAATGAGCACAAGACAGGATGTGTATAAAGAAATTCTGTATTTGTAATAAAATATACTGATTTTTTCTAGGATCTACCTCCGAGCCTGGAAATAGAAACAGATCTGAATTTTTTTACACATTAAATGGCTCTTCTGTTGATTCTCAACCACAAGCTAAATCAAAAAACACATGGTATATTGACGAAGGTAATGAGGAATAAGTTACCCCTTTTTTACAAATGCATGCTGTTTCACATAGGTTTGTTCATTAGCTTAGTGGACAGTGAGCATGACTGGGCAGGGGGATAAAAATGTTTTAAACAGCTGTTCTGTGTTCATGAGTGTGTTGATCATGCCAAATGTTGGTGAGTGCTCCTTAGTAGTATAATATACACTTAAGACTAACTTGAAGACAATGGCTTTTCAGTTGTCTTGTATGTAGCTCTGTAACAAAGTCACTGTATGTAAGTGGAATGGATTGTACATGTTGCACATAACATGATTGTTGAGGCACATCACTAAGCTAAGATAGTATCGTTAAACCCTTGTCCTCCAGAGTTTTATCTGACTTACCCTTCTGATGTTAATTTAACTTTCAGTTTTAAGTGGATCATAATGTTCAGTCATATTCAGAACACCAGTTGTTCAGAGTCTGCAGCTCAATTGCAGTTTCAATAAAATCAAATGTATGTTTATATCAATAATGATACTTAAATTTTTATATCTCTTTTTAATGTTTGTTCTTAATATTGCACACTTGACTTTTAAGGAACTAACCAAAGCATCTAGAATCAGTAATTTTTGCTAGATTTTTGCTTTTCACTAACAAAAGACTAATTTATATTATTCCCAGAAATTGCTTTTAGGGTCATAGTAAGTGTGTTTCGTCTGGTAAGGAGTTCTTATGGGTGAAACTGGGGAGGTCACTGCTAAAAATATGGGTTTGTAATTAAGACACGCAGAGCAGTAAGAGACACCAAAGTCAAACTGTTAGAAATGAAACTGGAGTTAAAAATCATTCCTAGCTGCCTCCCAAATAATAAATGCATCACTTTAGTGTAAAATCATTTTGAGAGGTAATTCCTCTGAATAATTTTTGTTTTTTGGGGGGCATTTTGAAATAGTCACACAAATAAGGCTGTCAAGAAAAGGCTAAGTTGCTACTTGCTCCATAAAAGTCAGTCGTTGTGCATTGTAGACTAAGCCAGGGAGTTGAGGTAAGATGTAAGACACTTATAAATAGTATCATACTAGTAAATCTGCTTGTGACCTCATTTATCTAGCACTGAATTACTCATGATTTATTTATATTTCTTCAGGTAGCAAGTCAGTTACTTTATCTTGTATGAGCACTAGATGACAGATTCTGTCTCTGCGAGAACCAAAATGTGCTCTTATGATGACTGGGGATGATTACTGTCCTAAATCAGATATTTATAACCTATAGTTAATCGCAAGCAAATGTGAAACATACCATACTCATTACTAACTTGCAACTATCATGTCACTCTGATTCTTGTTGGCCTGTATATTAAGACAGCGGAATTTTTTACTTTGGCCACTCTACATAGCATATTTCTTAAAATTTGAGAGACCTGGACACTGATATAAAGATTGGCAGTTTAAGAAAATTATTTTCTATATTCAGGATAAGCTTTCCTATAATTGCTTGCTAATGTACCTTTTCCTAACCTAGAAAATCTGTGTTGCTTCATCATGGTATGGGATCTCCTCAGCGAACAGTGCGAATATTGTGCCTAATGTAGTGTGTTCATTTGTGAAATGAATTGTCCATTACACAGTGATGCGAGGTTACAAACTATTTACTTAGTTCTGCAAACTTGACTGTAAATACAGGAAAAATCTAGAGGCAAAAGAACAGTGTTTTGAGATGTCAGGAAATACTGCTCCACAGGCATAATAGCATATTAGCTATTCCTTTTAATTTTAAATGAATTAACTTTGCTGAAGGCCTATATTACATAATTTTGAATGCTATCCTGTGCAGGAGGTGGGGGTGGAAGACTTGTGTGACCCAGTGACAATTTCTTGGAGCTTCTTGGCATACTGGGGCAATGTGCTTACAGCAGGGGTGGGGAACCTCAAGTCCAGGGGCCAGATGTGGCCCCTGCCTTGCCTGGATCTGGCTCCCAAGGCTCAGGGATTCTTCTCCCTCCCCCTTTTCCTCCCCCCCCTCGCATTGGAGAGCTTGCGCTGGCACTTCAACCCCCCTGCCACCCACCTAAACGGCTGAAGCATACAAAATCTACTAGCCTAGGCCCCCTAGGCACTGGTGTATGAGGGGACTGTGAGAAGTGTCTTTTTCCTTCTCTGTCAGGGGCTTTTCACTTTGCTTCTCACTTGTGTGTGACCCCCAAATGACTTTTCTGTGAGTCATTGGCTGCTGACCCAAAAAAGGTTCCCCACCCCTGGCTTACAGCATCATCAGGGCTTGACAAACCCTGGCGAGAGCTGCCAGCCCCGCACCGCGCATGTCCCAGACCCGTGGCGAGTAGATTTTAGCCAGTTGCTCCGTGTGCGCGAAGCACCTGTGAATGGGGCACATGGAGCAACTGGCTAAAATCTACTCACCACAGGCGAGTAGATTCAGCGGTTTGTCGATCCCTGAACATCATAATAGTACAACGTAATATGTTCCCTTCTCTGTGCCCAGTTCTGTTGGTTGCTGTGAAAGTGGTTATAGGTCTAGCCCTGCCTTCTCACCTGGGTGTCTCATACTTCCAGTAGTGTTTGCAAGCATTGGGAGATTCTCATGCTCCCAGTGCTTCCCCCATCAATTCCAGTGGTATCTAGGTCTTAGGGTAAATCCACCTTTGGGCCTCTGTTGATCTGCCTCAAATGCCGCTGTGACGTTTCAAAGGGGCAGCGCCACATGGACCCCAGGGGCAGCTCCATGCGGCAATGCTTTGAAACATCAAGGTGGCGTTTCAAAGCAGCAGTGCCGCACGGAGCCTGGGTACGGGCTCCTTGTGGCGCTGCCGCCTTGAAGTACCCCTTCTTCTCCCCCTTTGCTGATAGAGGTAGCAAAGAGGAGGGGGGGAATCAACTAGTCGACTCAACTATCTGATAAGAATTTGCTCATCGGATAGTTGACTAGTCCTTACCATCCTTAGTTGAAAAGTGATGACCAGCAGTTTAAACACTCCATATGTACCCTAGACTTAATGCCTCCCTTCATGCTGTGCAGCACTGCCCCTTTGAAACACTACCGCAGCGTTTGCGTGGAACCTGGGGTCAGTTGGAGAACTCAAGATCCTGGGTTCTGGGGAAATACCGCGTGGAATCCGCTATCAGCTGGGGACTCCCTAGCTGACCTGGGCTCCACATGGCATTTCAAAGCGACAGCATGGAGCTTGGGGCTAATGGGGGGACTCTGAGTCCTCCACTGACCCCAGGCTCCATGAGGGTGCTTACGCTTTGAAATGCACATGAGCCCCTGCTGGGGACTCTTCTGCAGGGGCGGCCAATGACTATAGGCCGACTCAGCCGTTGCCTAGGGCGCTGCCTTCAACGGCACCTGATGATGACGTCACCTCATTGATGGCTCGTTGAAGGCCGTGCAGGCGGGGGCGCCGATCGCACGGCCCGCCTGGGGCGCCAGCTGCTGCAGCCCGCCACACACCGCTTCTGCTCTTGTGCATTTCAAAGTTGGCACCCGCGTACAGCCTGGAGTTAGCGGGACTTCCCGCTGGCCCTGGGATGCACTCAGAGTTCCGCATTCCTCCTTTGAAATGCAAAAGAACCGCAGCGGGGGCTCTTGTACATTTCAAAGGAGGAATGTGGAAGTGCCTATCAACTAGTTGAGTAGTTGATGGAAATTCCATCATCTGTTTGACTAGTAAATTACTTAATATTTAACATCCTTAGTCCCTCCGTCTCTTGGCATGGATGCTGCATGGCTGAACCTGGAGTAGCAGACCTGCTAGGAGGAGTTCCTACAGGTCTTTTTAGGGAGTAGGAAGCCCTCAACCAGTCAGACTCTAACCAAGTGGATGAGGTTTTCCTGTTAGTCATCCAGGCATGGCATCTCTCCGTCTTTCTCTTCTGTACAGTTTATCACATATTCCCTGTGACATCTGAGGAACCAGTGCAACACACTAGGGTGCATCTTGTGTCTTATCTCTGATACAGGGCCAGATGGTTTTTCCCCATGATGTGACTGTCAGATTCTTGAGAGACCTTGAGACTCTTTCTTGCAGATATAGGCTCCACAGTGGGATCTTAATTCTCCAGGCTCGCAGGCTTGCCCTTTGAGCCACTGTGCTCCTGCTCTCTTTCCAGTCATGGAAGGTTGCTTTCTTGGTGGCAGTGACATCAAGACAAGTTTGAGGTTAACGCCTTTGCCAGAGAGCAACCATACACAGTCTACTATAACAGAAAGGACAAGCTATGATCCTGCCCAGTCTTGCTGCCAAAAGTGGTGTCTACTTTCTTTATGAACTAGGACATCTTCCTCCTGATGGATTGTCCTAAAGCACACAAGTAGAGTAGAGAGGTGTTTTCACACATTAGATATCTGAAGGGTCTTGGCTTTTTACTTAGACTATGCCAAGCATCAGATCTTAATTGCTACAGCAGATTGGTGAAGGGGACTTTCAATTGAAAATCGTCTGCGAGGACATTGGATCACCTCCTGTATAAGGGCCTGTTACAAGCTGATGTCAGAAACATGCTAGCACATGACTAGAGCTCAAGCATCCTCAGCTGCCTATCTGGTACACATTTCTTTCTGGGACATCTGCAGAGCTGCGATGTGGCTTTCAGTTCACATGGTCATGGCACATTACGCCATCACTTAGGAGGTCAGAGACTATGCTGTGGTCGGCAGAGCTGTATTGCAATCGACACATCCATGAACTCTTGCCCGCCTCTATTGGTACTTCTTGGGACTCACCCAATATGGAGTGGACATAAGCAAGCACTCAAAGAAGAAAACTGGTGTTCTGTAAATGGTGTTCTTCGAGTTGTGTTGCTCATGTCCATTCCATGACCTGTCTTCCAATCCCCACTGACAAGTTTCCAGGAAGGGGCACTCACGAGGGGGCAGATTCCTCCCTTCTCCCCCCCACCGTGGGTGGGATGGGAAAGGGGCTGGCCAGCAATCTGTGGGGCTAGAGTCCATGGCTATCTGGTGGGACCAGTGGGAGGATCTGGACCCCTCACACTCACTGACCATGGTGGTGAAAGGGAAGCAAGGCAGCTCCAGCTCAGTCTGCTCTCCCGGTTTGTTGCACAATGTGTGTGCTGCTCTAGAGGGTGCAAGAACCAGTTTTCTATGAATATTACTCAGAAACTTCCTGCACCAATGCATGTGATGCACGTTAGGGATGTTAGTGTTCAGTCATTTAAATGATTAACTGATGAGCCTGGGCTCATTAGTTATCCAGACAGCAAGGGGAGGGCGGTTGGTGGGAGCCGGTGCCCGTGGAGAGCCAGCTTCTAAGCCAGCTCTCCCCCCCAAGCACTGGATCCCGTGGAGCCGCTCCTTCCTCTCCTCTCCCCTCCCCCCACCCCGTGTGACTGTCTCTGATACTTTTAAGCCGGTTCTCCGTGTATGCCAGCTCCAGGGAGCTGCCTCCCCTCTCCCCCCCTTCCTCCCGCACTGCTGTGTCTGTATCAGAGGTAGCAGCATGGGAGGGTGGGGAAGGTGGGATGCTGGAACAGCCTCTGTGTGCAGACCGGCTTCCACCTGCCACTCCGCACTGCTGCCTCTGATACAGAAGCAGCAGCATAGGGTAGCAGGGGGCTCCCCTGGAGTGGGGCCAGCGCTGCCCTAGGGACAATTGAATAAGCATGTAACCACTAAGGTTTGGTGAGGTTACATGATTATTAAATTAATCCATATCTAACATCCCTAGAACGCACACACTTAATATGGAATGATTATGAGAAATGCGTCCCTAAGAACACTAGTTAAAGGTAACTGTGTCTATCTCTCTTTTTTTTTTTTTTTTTTCTGTTTCTTTTTACACCTACACAGCTTTTCTTTGGGAAGCAAGAATGAGCTACTTAATTTGTTTCTTGTTTATTTTTTAACAGTTGCTGAAGATCCTGCAAAATCTCTTACTGACTCATCTACTGGGTTTGGTCATTCTTCACCACCACTACAGCCACCCCCAACAAACTGTTTATCTAGTGAAAATAGATTTCATTCTTTACCCTTTAACTTAACAAAAACATCTAATACTAATGGTACTATTGGACATAGTCCCCTCTCTCTGTCTGTTCAGTCAGTTATTGGGGATATGAACACGGCTGCCACCCAGGAGAGTCCATCAACAGTAGTGCCTGTCAGTAACTTGCATGGTCTTGAAGCAGGTTCACTGGCCGAAGTTAAAGAGAATCCTCCTTTCTATGGAGTAATCCGCTGGATTGGTCAGCCACCAGGGGTAAATGAAGTATTGGCTGGATTGGAACTGGTAAATAATACAAAGTACACAATCTTATTGTTTACCATTCTATTTGCTGTCTGTGTTGCAATTCAAGTAATAGTTCTATACCTGAGGGACCCTAGCTTATGTACTCTACCAAATACTGGGGCCTGGCTGAAACATTGTTGTGATGTGAACTGAGTGCAGATTAGTTTCAATTTGAGACAGGAATTAATCATTTGATAATTCCACTAATAATGCTTTGTTTCATCATTAAGGGTACGTCTACATTGCAGGGAAGCCTCAAAATTAGTCCAAGGCAGGCTTCCGTAATTTAGACGTGCTATCTCGATTTAGAGCCCCAGGAAGTACTGGGGAGGAATAACTTAGAAAGCCTCTCACCAGGGCTAATTTCAAAATAGCAGCAGTGGATTATCTTCACATGCCTTATTTTGAAATAGCAATTTCAGAACAAGCCGTCCGTTATTTTTAAAATAATTTCGAAATGGCTGTCTGCTTTCACATTGTTATTTTGAAATCATGCTAGTTAGCTAATGTGGACGCACCCTAAGTTGTGATACAGTTAGGGCCTGTTCTGTACTACTGATAGAACAGTTGTAGTTTGCTCAGTGGACAGCTACTGGGGATCCTATAGTTACACTTTTAGGGTATGTCTACACTAGCTCGTTAATTTGAGCTAGGTAGGCAAATCAGGCAACCGGAGTTGCAAATGAAGCCTGGGATTTAAATATCTCAGGCTTTATTTGCATGTTCCCGTCCGGCCGTCATTTTTAAATCTCCCCTAGTTCAAACTACCTGCCCGCAGCTACACGTGGCACGAATGAGGTAGTTCGAATTAAAGCTCCTAATTCAAACTACCATTATTCCTTCTGCAAGGAAGTTTAACGGTAGTTCGAATTAAGAGCTTTAATTCAAACTACCTAGTCCATGCCGCATGTAGCCGCGGGCAGGTAGTTCGAACTACGGGGCATTTAAAAATGGCAGCGCCCGGGAACATGCAAATGAAGCCCGGGATATTTAAATCCCGGGCTTCATTTGCAAGTTTGAATGCCTCATTAACCACCCTAGTTTGAACTAGGGTGGCAGTGCAGACATACTCATATAGTGTAGAAGGGTCTTGACTTGTTTCTTAATTTATATAGGCTGTTTCATTAGAACTTCTGCACTACTGGACATCCATCATTTTCTTAAAGACAGAATTCAACCTATATAAAATACTGTCTGTAATCATCTTCAGAATGGTGGTGGAATATGATTGCCACCATCGCTTCCATAGTAATTAATAATTATATTCAGAGATTTGAACTGAGCAGATTTAAGTCATATTTACAAGCAGAGCAGGAAATGGTTTTCTCATTTTGCAGAATTTTGGAGATTTATTTTTTAAGTCCTATTCTGCATGGGAACAGAACAAAGTCTTTTCAAATGTTTTTCCTGGGGAGGAGGAGATGGAAAGGAATGGAGAGAAAGGACAGGTGCATCCTCCCACCTCAAAATAGCCAGTAGCCTGGTGGTTAGGACATTCACTGGGGATATGGGCAAAACCCAGGATCAAATCCTTGCTTTGCCAGATGAAGAGTGCTAGGCAATTGGCTATTTAGAGATGGATCTCCCTCTATATACTGTTGAAGCTGCTTTGTTTCATTTAAAATTCACTGGCTCACTGTAGGGCAAGTGATTAGGGCATTCATTGGAACATGGTAGCCCAAGTTTTACTTGATTAGTCTTTCATGCCCCATTTGCATGTCCTAAAAATCCTACTTGACAGAAGTTAGTGGGAAAAGTTTTTCTTTCAGTTTTGATGAGTCGGCATTTTTGTTGACAAACTATTTTGCTAGAAAATTCCCAACCAGTTCTACTTATAAGGCCAATTACACAAATATCAATAAAGCCACAGCTTCAGCAAAATTACACAGACTTGTTATGGTTTATTTTTATGGTAGTTGTGTATCTGGTTGTGACTGTGCAGCAGCTACATTATTTTCTGTGCTTGTAATATGATGCCTCTTAAGAATAATTTTCTGTTGACTGTTACACAAGTATACATTTAAATCATGAAAGTATACATATGTAAACATTTTTCTCAGAGGTAGTTTTGAGTTGTCACCAGAAAACCTCCACTGCAGGTGATAGCTTTATCCTTCATCTTATATTTTCAATCACAGGCTGAATTTTAAGTCCATGGGCTAAAGTTGGCCTGTGGGCTTGTACATAATACAGCTCTGCAATAGGTCTAACATCTGTTTAATATCCATTAATGCTTTTAACATCATCCTTGAAATAGCTATCTTCCAGTCTTAATAATTACTTGTTATAATTATAGAGATCTTATAATGCAAACTTTCAGACTGTTTTACCTTTGTTTGTGCTTACACCATTGCAACCATTATAGCAGTGTATTTTCCACTCCCTCACCATGAAAAAATTCAAATGATTATTTATGGTGGTGGTGGTGTGGAAATACCAAAAACATACCTGATTGCAGAGGGGATGAAGGGCAGAGAAAAATGGTCTCGCTGCTCTCATCGCTAAATTAAAAATGATTCAATCATGAGCTACCATATATACCAAATTGTAACCCTACATCAATCTTATATAGCAAAGTAAAAAATCCAAATACAGGTGTCTTTATTGTAGATACCTTGTCAAATACGTAACTCACCAGAAACCTAGAAATGGGAAGTTCTAGGCCAGTAGTTCTGCAGGCACTCTTTTCCAAATATAGTGGTAAACTACCTCTGTTTAATTTTCAGGAAGATGAATGTGCAGGCTGTACAGATGGAACATTTAAAGGAACTAGATACTTCACTTGTGCCCCAAAGAAGGCTCTCTTTGTTAAACTCAAGAGCTGCAGGCCAGACTCTAGGTTTGCATCCCTGCAGCCTGTTTCCAACCAGATTGAACGCTGCAACTCTCTAGGTATTGAACATGTCCTTCTCAGTTATTTATTCATGTGGAAGTAACATTATTTCTGGATTTGGTTCTTCATATGTTAGTCAGTTAGAAATATGAAACTTTTAAAAGGGTGTACAAACATTACTCAATCTGGTTAGACAATGGTGAGAGTACTATGCACAACATAATTTAACATTTTTCTGTGAATTGTCTGTCAATGACTTCAGAACTTTTTTTGCTTTTACTGCTACTTTAAAGAAAGCTAAAGTAGTCTTGTATAATGTGACAAAGGTCAGTGTGCAAATTGCGAAACAAACTGGAAATTGAAGTTTTTAATTACACTTGGTATTTCTCGCTTGACTAAGGCAGGATATCCTGACAAGTGTTTGTCTAATCATTTAAAAAAAAAAAAAAACTTCCTAGTGATGGGGATTCCATAACTTCCCTTGGAAGCCTGTTTCAGTGCTTAACTATCTTTCCAGCTAGAATGTTATTTCTAAATCTTGTTTGGTGCAGGCTAAGCCAGTTAGGTTTGCAACTCCAGCTATGCAATGATCTCTGTTTCAGATTGTGTAAGCCAACTCTGTCTCCTTCAGTACAGCTCATTTTTGAGAGGAGAGAAAAATTATGGAAAAGAGTGCCTGTTTATATGATGGAGGCATATTTTATGGATGAAAATAGTATCAACTGATTCAGACGGTCTTGATGATCTTGTGCTAGATGTCTTTTGGCAAAGAGAAATCAAGACTTTAAATTTTCATATCTTTAAGGTGGTTTAAAAACAAATAGAAATTAGAGGGAAATTCATTTATACACACTCAGTATATTCTGTTCACATGTAATGGGCCCAATCCAAGTGTGGTAATGTGGAATATCAATCCGGCTTTAAGGACTTATGCGCCATCTGGTGCAGAATGTGTTGCAGCTGCTAGGAGAAAGTAGTGCAATTAAAGTCATGCTCCTTCCTTTCCAGACCCGACGAAGAACTCTGTGTAACTTTAAAAACTTTTACCTTCCACCAGCACACATTGATCCAATAAAATGTTACTTGGCCTATCTATTCTCTCTTTCTAGTACAGTATAGGAAAGGAATGATTTCAAAGTTATTAGTATATTTTCTACAAAACACTTGTAGAAAAATCTTGATGGAGGTGAATTTTGGGATTTATAAGTGACTTTTGAAAAAATATTTTCAGCCTTTGGAGGATACTTAAGTGAAGTGGTAGAAGAAAACACCCCTCCAAAAACTGAAAAAGAAGGTTTAGAGACAATGATTGGAAAGAAGAAAGGTATCCAGGGTCACTACAATTCCTGTTACTTAGACTCTACCTTGTTCTGGTAAGTTTTTTAATTTATGCAACTGAATCCAAAGATATGGGTGAGAATGAGAAAAATTACAGATATAACAAAGTAGCTGAGTACTGATTTGTATAGAATGTTTTGCTTTATTGATGTGCAACTGACAGACACACATTATACATGTAATGCCTAGTGTTACATAACATTATTTTTAATTGAATGGAACTCACTAGGACTGGGGTCCCAAATACGCATTGTGATATTCACTGGCCAGGTTCAGTAGCTTCTTAACATGAAATATTTGACTGGTAGCCAGACATTACTCTAGTCTTCTACTTTTTGTCACCTTTGGTGTGGGGTAACTTATTTTTGCTTGCTTTGTTCTTTATTTCTTCCTCTCTCTTTCATTGGCTTGTCCTGAGGTCAGTTATGTTCCTCAGCATTTTACAGAATGAAAATAATTGTTTCTTCTTTCAGTCTGTTTTCTTTTAGCTCTGTTTTGGACACTGTTTTACTTAGACCTAAAGAAAAGAATGATGTAGAATATTATAGTGAAACTCAAGAGCTGCTGAGGACAGAAATTGTAAACCCTCTGAGGATGTAAGTAAATGCATAGAAAACATTGTACCAAACTGGCCAGTGAGTCTCCAGTCTAATATACATTTCATAAACACCTAGCCAACTATGAAATAAGTCATGGAAATGCAAAGTTCCTAGAGATGGCTGCTGTTGTAAAGCAGGGAGGGCAAATAGCTCTGGTGACTTTTAATCGAATTGCTGTAACTGCAGAGGATGTTACCAAAAATATGAGGCACAATCATATCAGCATTTCCTAGAACTAGAAACAAACATGTATCTAGCTACAGATAAACCATATGTGTTGGCACAATGCAAGTGGGAGTAAGCACCAGTGGTGACTTGGATGGGCATAGGTACTTAGAACAGCCTAACATCTTAATACTTATGTCCTGGAAAACGGTGTATGTTCTGTTTAGGACTGCATAATTCAGGCTTATTCTGCTTTTCCTCATTAGTAACAGTCACAATTTCTTTTTAAAAGTTTCAGAAACTGTTCATGTATGTCATACACAGAGATCATTTAGCAAATCATATTAAAAGAAATTCAAAGGTAATGATGAATACAAATGGGAAACTTGAGGCTCCTAGAACAAAGTAAATTTTAGAGTAGTACATACATAGCACTATGCAAAGGGAATTATAAATTATTCATCTGTAATTCAAGAAAATTAAATTTCAGGACCACAAGGGTCTTTGAAAAAACATTTCACTAGTAATGATTGTTCGAAAACTATACTTTGGTTTCACCATTAACAGCTTATTTGAAAAGGTTTCATCTTTCTTCCTCTTGAAGAAAAATATGCTGAATTTTGCACCCGTTAGAAGTGAAGATATGAACGCACCTCATGATTTTGTGTTTCTGTGGCCATAGAGAGATTCTGAAATCTATTCTATCGCCAGCCAATGAAATCTTAAATTATTGCTCGGGTGGACAATTGGTTTGTTTTTTGTTTTCTTGTATCTGCAACAGTTTAAGGCTTTTTGCTACGCTTTCCCACAATAGAGAAAGAGGGGACATATCTCCTCTCTAATTCACAAAATCTTAGAGACCTCTACATGTGTAATAGTTTTTAGCATTCATGAAGAAGTGAAATATTCTAAACTGGAACAATGTTGGCAATGTTGTTGCATACTGTCTTTATAAAATTTGGCGGCACATTGAAAACTAAATAGGGTGGAATCATAGGGCTGGAAGAGACCTCAGAGGTCATCGAGTCCAGCTCCCTGCCCAAAGCAGGACCGATCCCAACTAAATCATCCCAGCCAAGGCTTTGTCAAGCTGAAACTTAAAAACCTCTAGAGATGGAGATTCCACCACCTCCCTAGGTAACCCATTCCAGTACTTCACCATCCTCCTAGTGAAATAGTTTTTTTCCAAATCTAACCTAGACCTCCCCCACTGTAACTTGAGAGTGTTGCTCCTTATTTTGCCATCTGTTACTACTGAGAACAGTCTGTAAATTAAATTTCAGATTTATAATAGCTGTCAATTTGTGTAACATTTTAGTTTTCAAATTAACACAAGAAGGATTAGCTGCATTTTTAATACAACTTTGCATTTACTTGAAGTTATCACAGAAAAGTCAGTGCAACTCATAATTCAGCCGAGCTCTATCACAGAAAATTGTGGGCCATGATAAAAAACTTGGGTCCAGTGTACTGCAGAATACAAGAGGCATATAGGTTTGGGGGGGTGGGGGAGAATGCCAGATATTGTAAAAAGTCTGTATTTCTAGCCTCTGATTATTAAGTCTCTTTTCTTTACTGATTCGATGAAAAGCTTTAGCTAATAATGTATTAAACCATTTTCTTAATGTAGTTATGGATATGTGTGCGCTACAAAAATAATGAAATTGAGGAAAATACTTGAAAAAGTTGAAGCTGCATCTGGGTTCACTTCTGAGGAAAAAGGTAAATGTAGCATGTTTTGCTTCTAGATATGCAGTAGTTGCTGTAAGAAGGCCCTGAAATAACTTGAATTTATTACATATTATAAGTAAAGGTATACAAATGCTTTTCTGTAGCACCCATCACTATAGTATCAAAGCTTTTGATTAGGGATAGGGATTGAAAAAAGTTAACTCTCCTGCTGATAAATGAGGATACCTAAGCTAACAATTTCTGCACAATCCAAGCTTCTGTTTTTTTGTTTTTGTTTTTTTTTTCTTCTTGCCTTATGATTATGAAGGGGAAACTTCCCCTTCCACCAGACAGAGAAGGTCCAAGGCTGTTTTGAGGAGGGCATGGGGACAAAAACGTAGACTATGACCAAGGCACAGGGAAAATAACTTTGTTAGGAAGACTAGCACCTTTCCCAGTTCAAGAATGACCTTCTTGAATTGATCCACAGTATCTTTATCCTTTTTGTGATCTGGTCTTTCCTAAAGACTCGCCTATATTGTGAAGCTGACTGACTGACTTACAAATTTGAGAAGTAATTAGGTATAAAATACATTTAAAAAAAAAAGTCTCAAACCCAATTTTTTATTATCAAGTCACTGCTTACCTATTCCATTAATTTTCCTCCTTTTTTTTTTCTTCCTGTTTGGGAAGTAGCATACACAATAATATCTTCAGTTATATGAGAAGAAACCTTCCTCCCATCACTTATTTTGATATTAAGAGCTACATAGGAGATCTTTCTGTGTGTATTTTTTTCCTCGGGACTGATCAATATTAAATTGGAGGTTGTAACACTAAGTAAAAATGAAGGTTACTGCTGTAGATTGATTAGCAGATACTGTACTTTTCTGTTTCTTCTGGTAATGGTGGCCGTTTTCTCTTTTATCAAGATAACATTTCACAGTGTGAAACGGATTCCTTTTGTAGTAGGATATCTTTGATTGTAAGCCTTGCTATTCAGAATTTAGCCTTCATCTGTTTATTGTTCTGTTTGATGTTCATAAGATAAAGTTAAAGATTGTATGCTCAAATTGACATAACTATATTATTAAAATTGGAATGCCCCTTCAAAGACTTTAATACAATTAGGAAGTTTTATTGTAATTGGTACAAAGAAAATGGTCTTGGAGAATGTGCTTTCATATGCTAATATTACTTTTATTTTTGCTTAGATCCGGAAGAATTCTTGAATATTTTATTTCATCATATTTTAAGAGTAGAGCCACTATTAAAAATAAGGTAAAATGCTCTTTTTACTAAGCAGTAAAAATGCATGTGTTGAACTCTTAAAGCCAGATTTATCCAAGTAATGATGCTAGAGCCCATGCAGGAGCTGAAAAGTGGGCTTCCACTCTGAGCTGGTCCAAATTATGCCCCCTGTTAACATTGACTCAAGTTTAATTGTGGGTATTGGCAAGACATATTAGTGTTTTGGCTGTGCCTACTGCTGCCTATATCTTTGTCTTTAAAGCCATTGTGTCAAGGCTTTTGCCTCGCTGGGGGTGTGCAAAGCTTTCCTGTCCCCAGTGCATTCATTACCTTATGTGACTGACTTTTATGGCTCCTCTGTACTAGCATAGCAGACCCACAGAGCAATTTTGAATCTAGCCCTTAATGTATAGCTGTGGACTATTGGAACAACTTTATGAAGCAATCTTAAGCAGTAGAATCTGACACAAGATATTTTGGCTCTTCAGGGAAAATATTAATGGTTTGCTTTGGAGGAGGTATTTGAGTTTTTATTTCTTTCATGCAGCCTTTATTAAAAATAATTCTTGATAAAATTGTAGGATCTCACTCTCACCTATGCAAGTTATTCTTTTTAAAGCTGGAGGACAGAACTGGAATTGAGAACTATACATCAATTAATGGAGACTTATGTGCATGCTTTGGGAGGATATTGGAGTCATTCTCTTTTGCCTCCTTCTCCACTTGATTATCTGTTCTGTTAATTCCCTTTTGGGCATCTGGCATTGGCCACCGCTTGAAGACAGGCTACTGAGCTAGATGGACTTTGACCCAGTAAGGCTATTCTTAGGTTCTTATTACGACAGATTTTAGCTTCCTAAATCTGCATGTTTTGGAGCATGCAATAGAGGTAAGATCTATTACATGAAGGGCCTACTGCTTCCATGCTCTTGCCTAGCCCTTGCCTTTGTGTTCCCTTGACAATATATCCCTGACAATAAGGTGGCTGCAAGAGATTCCCAGTGAAAGAAGCCTTTGGGAAATCCTCTCTCCCCATAGGGTCTGTGGTAAACTTCCCCTGAGTTGGTCTGCAGATCTGTAGTGAGGATTATGGAGCTTCTTCAGATAAGCTTTTGTAAGTCGTGGGCTGCATACAGTGGAGATGTCACCCTCTAATTTCCTCCTCTTTCTACCCTGGGCCAGATTCACAGGCTTTTATCTCCCCTCTTTTCACCAAAAATAAGTAAAAATGGAGTCTGCATAGGCAGTGTTTTCAGATGATAACTTTGCAAGATCCTGGCCCACTATACTACACTATTTCAGCAATGTGAAACTGTTATTCTACCTAATCAGTCTGTAGAAAGCGTGGATTTTCCAAACTAGGGATGTAAGTGACTAGTTGCTCCCCCTTGCTGCCTCTATCAGTGGCCTTGTTCCAACTTTGAAATATACAAGAGCCCCAGGCTCAACAGGGCGTTTCAGTCTTTGAAGTGCGTTAGAGCCCCTGCTGGGGCTCTTGTACATTTCAAAGGCAGAATGCTGTGTTAGTCTTTATTGACTAATCACATCAACTATTCGATTAGTTAATCGAAATTAACATCCCTATTCCAGACGTGACAGTTTGGGAATGTAGGATATTCAAATTAAAATAGATGTAGGATAGCTTTATAGTTGAACAAAATTTACGAATGCTTTTAAGTCCAAGAATTCCCAATACTGTGCTTTCTTAAAGGGACCCTGAAGAGACAAAATCATACTTTCAAAGGAGATACTCTTTTTCAGAGTTATAAATGACAGACTTTAGCATGTGTTACATTTTAATAATTTGGAGCTCAGTATTGCACATCCATAAACAGAATGGTAGGATGGAGTATTAAAGAAAAGGGAGGAGGCATGCCTCTGCTTATGCCTGCCTCTTGGCTATCTTTTCTGCAGGACCTCACATATGTCTTTTGTCCATATTTTATAAAACTGGGACTCTGAGGGAGTTTGTAAGGCGTAGGGCAAGGCTGGATAGCAGCAACTTGAGTGTTGTGCTCCAAGAACCCTCCTTATAGCCGAGTTGTTATTGCATTGATCTGTAGCAGTTAGGGTAGCAGTTATTGCACAGACAGAAGTTTAATGACAGTATATTCTCAGGAAGCCATGTTGACTAGTCAGAAAATCCAGAAGTATGGTGAAGTAGCTTCTCTCTAACTTCCTTTCCCCGTGATCATTGGATTTAGAGTCCAGTGACTGACTCTTGCGTCCTTTTTCCTTGATGGGAGCATTAGTTCAGTGGTTCCCAACCTTTCTAAACTAATGTCAGGGACCAGCAAAACCCATTCACAAACTTTTGGTGGACTAGTAATATTTTATTTGTTTATTTGCATATTCATTATGCAAATGATGACTCTGCATATAAAACATTACTGGTCCACCAAAATCCCAACCCCCAGAACTTCAGTGCCAGCCCTAACCCCATCCTTCCATTACCCCCAGCACCAGCCACTCTGTACCCAACCTCACCATGCCAGCCTCCCATCCTCAGAGCCCTCCAGTGCCAGACCCCTGCCCCTCACAACCAGACCCCCCCCCCCCGTACCAGCCTCCTGTTTCCAGAACCCCAGTGCACCCAACCCTCCCAGAGCCTCCACCAGTGCCAATCTTCGATATTAGCTCCATCCCTAGAGGCCCCTCCAACTATTAGCTGAGCCTCCAGACCCCCCCAGCACTATCCCCACCCTTGGAGCCCTCAGTGCCTGCCCCACCCTTCTCACCTAATCCTGCGCTACTGCCCACATCACAGCAGCTCTGAGGGTTGGGGCAGGGGTATACTGCCCAGTGCCTTCCATCTTGCCATGTCCTTCCCCGTCTCTCAGCCAACCAGCATTGGGCAGGGTCTCCTGTGGCTGTAAAAGAGTGCTTCCCTGAGCCGCCCCCCACACAGGGAACTGCTCTTCCACGGTCAGAAGGAGACACTGCACCTCGCCAGCACTGGTTGGCTGAGAGGTGGGGCAGGACATGCCTCACAACAGCTGTGGTGAGAGCATTGTACCATAGCCCCAGTTCTCAGAGCTGCTGTGGCCCGGCAGCCAGAGGTCTTTGGCCTGGCAGCAGGCTACGGTCCAGTGGTTGGGAACCGCTGCATTAGTCAATCTCTTAACAATGAGCTTTTAATTTCTTACAATCCTTTTGCAGACTTAACTGCAGGAGAGTATGACATGGCTTACAATGTAATTTTCAGTCTTTCTGCTATCTTACTGCTTGCACAACTTTCAAGGTGAAAATTGCCTTAGTGAGTCATTTTTCCTCCTTATATTTATGCATTTGAAAGTTCTGTTGGTGTTTCATAGGGGTGCATTATAAAAATATAAATTAAAATATTTCTATTCCTTTATGTGATTTTTATAAAACATCTCTTTCTTCAATTCAAGCTTATGCAGGCCTTGACTATGTGCCTTTTAAGGAGTTATTTGTGGTAACATGTAAAGTACATAGCATAAAGCTCTTAAAAGTAAAGGGAATGGTGTGAAATGGTTTTCTTCTTTGAGTATTTGTACACATTGCTCCCACTTATTGCCACGTGCACTATATGTTCAGGAGTTCAAAATGTTTTGTCCACCAGTGTCCTTTGGGATCATTGAAGGCATGCAAAATTCACGTGCAATACTTGTTCCAGGGGCATAAAAGACAGTACAACCCCAACTTCCTTTTAGTTCCTTCTGACTGTCTGCCAAGGGGGAGTTGGAACAACCTCCAATATTCCTTGCTTAATTTTTCATTTGTGTTCACTGTAGGTTTTTTTATAGTTATTTGTGTTTTCTTAAGCCTGCTGTCTTGATACGACTGTAAATGAAAGTCAACTGTTACGAAATTCCATTTATTTTTAAGATATATTTATACCTGCATTTTTAGATCAGCTGGTCAAAAGGTACAAGACTGTTACTTCTATCAAATTTTTATGGACAAAAATGAGAAAGTTGGAGTCCCAACAATTCAGCAGTTACTGGAATGGTCTTTTATCAACAGTAGCTTGAAATTTGCAGAGGTTGGTGACAGTTGTTAGTTTGTTTATACAGACATGACCTTTTATATATTGCAAACTATTCTGCTTATAAAAAAGGAGAAATGTACATTGGACGTTCACCAGTTTATGAGAAGAACAGTGTACTAGTACTAATAAAAAATACATTAATGCTTGTGGTTGAGGACACAGGGCCACTAATTCCAGATAATTGACACAATGCTAGAGATTATCTTTTATAAAATCTCCCGGAGAGTTGAGGTTTAGTGTGTGTCTATCAATTGGCCAAAGAAGCAAGATGATCAGAAATAAGGTTTAATGTTCTGGCATATTTAAACATAATTTTTTAAATTTAAAATTAATTCTTTGGTTAATAATTTAATTTTACATGTAAACATTTTTGCAAGAGACTGGCTGTTCAGCGAAGGGAAGAATGTTTTAATATATCATTTAAACATGGCTGATGCACACGATTAGGCTCAAGTCTTTTCTCCTTATGTTAGAATTTTTGAGATTGGAGATATAGTGTAAACATTCAATTATTTTTGTTTCATATGTTTGGTTAATTGCTAAATCATACTAATGTTTTTGAAGCTAATAGGCCACATACCTATATAGTAGATATAAATCTATATAGTATTAAGTGAAAACTATAAGCTAGATGTATATTTTGAAGATCAAAATTGTATTGTATTTTCGGATTTTTGGTAGGCACCCTCATGTCTGATTATTCAGATGCCTCGATTTGGAAAAGACTTCAAAATGTTCAACAAAATTTTTCCATCTCTGGAATTAAATATAACAGACTTACTTGAAGACAGTAAGTATAAACTATAGTTAGCTTATAATAAAAATAAGTAGCCTTGTAGCCATATGCAAGATTATATTTAAAATGTAGATTGATCTTGGAATGAACTTTTGATCATTTCATACTTTAGGGAAGCTATACTAATGAATACATTTTTCTTTCTCCTTTTAAGTAGTATATAACTACACTGCATCTTAAGTGGCGGTACTGTTGTTTGGCTTGCCAAGGGAAAGGGAAGAGTGCCATATGGGTAGGGAGCAATGTTCCCTCTAATTTTTTCCATCTATGTGTGAAATAAAAGTTGCATGTACCAGGATTCATGCAGATGTGCACCACCAATAGAAAAACATGCCAGCTGGGCAACGTTAGAATCTCTCCTGGATGGCTGCTCAAATGAACAGCTTATAGGAAACGCTGGTGGGGATTTGGAAGAGAGAGAATAGCTGCTGCAAAAGGGAGTGTGGGTCAATGTGGTGATGTTAACTGTACTCCTAAGCCTGGAAGGGTGTTGAAATTGGGGAAAGCCCTTTTTCCAAAGAGAGGCAAAGCTAGACCCATCCTCCTCCCCTTGAGGTGGCAAAATATCAGGTTTGGTCAGGACCTGCTGTGAGCACCACATTAACTGCTCCTTTAGGGGGCTGGGAAGACATTTTTTTCCCTTACCACCAGATCGGCTTTGGTGGAATGTGTAGGGGGAGAAGGGTTTCATTGTCCCCACAGCAGTTTCAAGGAGGTCTTTGTTTTGGTGAGGAGTGAAAAGAGTTTAGTGATAGGTCATAACTTACTGGGTCAGCGTGACTCGGATGTCCAGGGCTGGTAGTCCGCAGGGAAAGGAACCAGATAAATGACTCAGTTAAAGGACTTAAAAAGGAGGTGTTAGTTAAAAGAACAGAACAGGAATTGGGTTCAGGGCTCCTATGAATGGTTTGGCAAGAAGCCAACTCCCTTTCCAATAGCCCATCTTAACCCTTGTACAAGGGGGAAGTTGGATGCTTTCTGTTTAAATCCAGAAAACCAGTACTGAAACATTTTCTCCCACAGCAATATTTCTTTGATTAGGGGAAGGGTGGGCAAATTGTGGACCAGATCCATCCCATGGTCCACAGGGTTAATCTCTGGTGGGCTCTCACCTCTATGTTTACCTGGACCACTGCAAGTATTGGATGATCGCAGCTCTTGTTGGATGCAGATTGCTGTTTGTGGCCAATGCAAGCGGCAGGAAGAGGCACGGACCAGGATACTGCTTCCTACCACTCGCATTGGCTGCAAGTGGCAATCTTTGGCCAACAAGAGCTGTGGTTGTCCGACAAGTGCAGAGGCAGAGGTAAACAGAGGTGGGGGCCCACCAGCGATTAACCATGGTGGGTTGCCAGGGTTTTTTGGTTTTGTTTTATTGCCCACCCCTGGATTAGGTCCTAGTATGTAAATCCACCCCCACCAAGAAAGAAATAGAAGAGCATAAATTAAGCCTACAGACAGTAGTGATGTACTCTTTTTTTTTTTTTTGGTTTTACCTTTTAAAAATTGGTGGTGGTGTTAACTGGCTTGATGAAAGTTATATTTTTGGAACAAAATAGATAGTCTCCTTATAAAATCTTTTATACACGAGCTCTTTTTTTAAAACCACAATGTAGCTCCTAGGCAGTGCCGTATATGTGGAGGACTTGCAATGTATGAGTGCAGAGAATGTTACGAAGATACTGACATTTCTGCTGGAAAAATCAAGCAGTTTTGTAAAACCTGCAACACACAAGTAAGTGTATTTTTAAAAAAATGTTTTGGTCCTTTTAAGCAGTATGTACTCATAACTTGGTGTAATATAGTAGTATCATTCCATGTGTCAGTCTGGGTATGTCTACACTACCCCGCTAGTTCGAACTAGGAGGGTAATGTAGGCATACCGCACTTGCAAATGAAGTCCGGGATTTGAACTAGGTAGTTCGGACTAGGATTCCTATTCCAAACTACCGGTACACCTAGTTTGAGCCCCGTGTAGCCGCGCTGCACGGGGTTCGAACCAGCGGGGTTTAAAAAATGGCGGCTCCCCGCTTAAGCAAATGAAGCCTGGGAAATTCAAATCCCGGGCTTCATTTGCAAGTGCGGTATGCTTACATTACCCTCCTAGTTCGAACTAGCGGGGTAGTGTAGACATACCCAGACTGACACATGGAAGCAAAGTTATTGGTAACTGAGCATAATGTGAAGGGTACAGACTTCATTAACAAGATAAGACTCTGTTTAATTCACTAACATCAATTGATGACTACATCTATTGAACAGAATTTACTGTAGCTTTTGGCGACTACACAGTCCAACCTTGTGAACCAATGAAAAGAAAGGAGTAATTCCAGGCTATGATGGTTTGCAATCCCATAACTTTGGTCAACACCATAACTTTGGTCAACAGGAGAGCACCTAATGATAGTAAAAGCAGAAAATTAGTATTTGTCATTTCCTGTGTTGTTTATTCAAATTAAGCTCTGATTGAAAGTCACTGTCAGATTACTGTTTGACACATTAAATTATCATGGTCTTGATCCATTTTCAATAAGGTATCAATAGTGATGGTATTTTTGTAATCGATCTGGGATGGGGGTGTGTGCAAAGACTTGAATAGGTTTGAAGACAACTTTCATCTCTTGAGAGTGGGCTTCTTCATGGCAAGGTGAAGCTATGTGAGACAGCCTAAGCAATTTTGCATCGCCTCTGTCCATATCAGGTCTGTTCTTTGGTAAAGTAAGACTTCAATCTTAAGTGCTCTCAGTTGGTTTAATGCATCAGTACTAAAATCCACACTGCCTTTTTAATACTCCCCCTCCATGTGCATGTTTTTAACTTCTGAAATATTGATCTAATTCTAGGTTCATCTACATCCAAAGAGACAGAGTCATAAATTCAATCCAGTGTCACTTCCTAAAGATCTACCAGACTGGGATTGGAGACATGGATGTATCCCTTGCCAGAAGATGGAGTTATTTGCTGTCCTCTGCATCGAAACAAGCCATTATGTAGCTTTTGTCAAATATGGGAAGGATGACTCCGCTTGGCTCTTCTTTGACAGCATGGCAGATCGGGATGGTATATCTTTCATTTTTTTTCTGTTAGACTGTCACATTTAAACAATATAATAGCTCTTAAATACTGTGACTGTTAAACTTTTCTAGTACCTCAACTTTTTTATATGTCATGAGGCTGTAAAAGAAACTTTTTTTAACTCCACTGGAATATAGCTATTTAACTATTCATTGTGCCACTGTCAGTCTCACTTCCGAAAATCTCTGTCTTAAACAATTCAAAGAATATAATTGTTTGGGTAGAATAGAAATAAAATCTCTACAGAGCAAAATCAGTGCCATCTGGTTTGGTAGCGCTAGAAAACCATTATCCTATGATAATATTTTGTTTAATTGCTATTCTGTGAATTATTGTTGCATTAACACTGATGATCTGAGGAGGACAATGCTTTCAGTACATGTTGCTAGTTCCTTAAAGCAGATAGTAATCAATTCAGGTATTTGGCTATAGCTATATTCGTGCTGCAGTGCTAACCAGAATAAAAAGTTGCAAGAGTAAAAGTCCATTAAAATATATGCATCTGACAGGATGCAAACAGAAGACCACCCGATAAAGATAATGTAATTTTTCTGACTCTAACTGCACTTTTCCATTGAATGTTCCAGAATACCTGATAGCACCCCATTAGTTAGGCAAGTATTTAAGATTGGGATAATAGTGGATTTGTGTGGTATAGTAATTCTATTTGACTGACACATTCATTATCAAGTCCTCATGCTAGCGAGGGGAATTAATTCCAAAACTAGAGTTTCTCAAACTTAATTGTACCATGATCCCCTCCTGACCATAAAAATTACTTCACAGCTCCAGGAGAGTAGACCGAAGCCAGCCTGCCCAAGCCCCACCACTCTGGACAGGGAGGTCAAAGCTGAAGCTCAAGGGCTTCAGCCCCATGTAGTGGCCTGCAACATGACCCCTGCTGCCCAGGGCTGAAGCCTTCAGGTTTTGGCTTCTGCCTTGGACAGTGAGGGTTGGGATTCAGCCCAGGCCTCAGCAAATCCAATTCAGCCGATGCCTCCACGTTTAAAGGTGGTCATGACCCAACCCACAGTGTAAATCAATGGTTATCAAATAGTTAAGACCAAAATAATTTTAATTTTGTTCACGAGGTCCCCATGGGGTTACAAAAAACTTGTGGCAGTTGGAATCGTTGGGAGGTGTTAATATTTGCTTACTACATGGTGAACTTCTGTAGTAACACACAGTGCCAGCTTTGGATTTGAGACACATGCAAGATGTGTTTCAAAGAGGTATACACCTTAAGGAAGCACTGATAGTTTAAGATGCTAGCCTCATCTTGTTTTTCTTGCTTCCCTTCCATTCTCAAAAGGAGGCCAGAATGGTTTTAACATTCCACAAGTTATACCATGCCCAGAAGTTGGCGAGTACCTAAAAATGTCTCTAGAAGAATTACATTCATTGGACTCCAGAAAAATTCAAGGATGTGCACGAAGACTACTTTGTGATGCTTACATGTGCATGTATCAAAGCCCAACCATGAGCTTGTACAAATGAACATTATACTCTGAAAGGAGAAAAAACTGTATGCAGATTTCTCTACTGTTGCATTCACTATTCACCTTAGTCAGTTTTGATGCAACCGTTGCCGGCAATGGATGCTATGATAGGGAAAAGCTAAGACAAATGTTTTAAAAACTACATGTAGAGTTCTGTTGTTGAAATATTTAAGCATTTTGCACTCTAGGAAGTGTGCGTGTGTGTTTTGTTTTATAAACAAAGTCTAAATGAAGTTGCTAAAAACTGAAGCTTTAAGTTAAGTGCATTGATATGTTGATTTTGAAATGAGAAGTTGAATTGTAATAAGAGAAAATCCTTAGTTCATTGAGAATGTAAACATACACTGTGTACTTGCTCAGTGTATTTCTGTGGACCAAGGATGATGAACTTTATTTTTTTGCTCTGTAGCTAACAGTTGCCTTCAGGAAGGAATATTTTTGGTTTTAATAAGGATGGTTTAATTTTTTTTTTAGAGAAGTCATTGCAATTGACTTCTATGGTCTTGTTAACCTTTAGCCATCTATTGTTATCATGCATGTCTACTTTTATAGAATTCTAAGTCATCACAACAACCATAATCTCAAACTGCTCTATTTCTTGAGGTTTGTACTTCTCTTTTATTTGGGCAAATCATACATACTTTCACTGGATATGTCAGTTTTCTTCAGGGAATGGGGCAATATTGTCTAAGTATAACAGTAGAAACATAAACTAACACATGGAAGTGTCTTATGTTCTGCAAAAAATAATAAACTAAATCTATACAAGTGTCTGGATGGCAAGCTAAATAATGTGGCTAATTGCCTCAGGGAGTGTTATTAAAGTAGAATTTGTAGTCCTTAGTAAAATGAAGTAGACAATTTGACTGTCCAGCAACATATTGAGCTGCTATAGGTGATCTAAATTTTTCAGTGTTTGGGATTATAAACTAATGTTTATATCTTAACATCAGGAAAGATGAAATTACAAATTTTAAAAAATAGCATTTTAAATACTTGGTACCTGGTATGTATGAACAAAAAATGAATTACACTACTTTAAAAAATCATTGTAAAGTATTATTGATATTTTGTGACTTGAAGTTGATTCTTATTTTCAATGGAATTCTGTTGTATTAATGGCCTTTTAGATAATTCTGTCTAAAGTATTTTTAAATGTTTAGAAATGTGTGTACAGCAAAATTTGGATGTTGTACAACTAGTTGTAGTTCAAACTCCATTATTGTGGGTTGTAGCATATTTTCAGATTTTAAGAATTGTTGTACATGAGTAACTAACTGCCTCTTTGGGATCCACTTCATGTAGAAAGGATGAAGAACAGATGAAAAATACATTATCCTTTTAAAACAAAACAAACCCAATACCAAAAAATGTGGCTTTCAGAATATTGTAAAACTTTCTATCTGGAGTTATTTTCTGTAGTTTTAAGTTTATTTTTTCTGATAGAACACCATGTGCTGCCTTGAAAATGTCAGGTAAATCTTATTTGTTCCTACCATGTCTATAGGCAAGATATTGAAAAGGATATCTTTTGCTCTTCAAATGACCACCACTGTGGGGGAAAAGCTGGGAAAAAGTTTTTTAGTTAAAAAAATGCAGATTGAGTTGGACCACAATATTTTGCAAGTGTGTATTAAACATATGCAATTGTTAGTTGGAAAAAATCTAGTGCTGATTTTTTTTCTATTCAAATTTACTCTTTTTTAAGGCAATTACAGTACTTATTTCCCCCCCAGCAAACTGGAATAGTGGTGGACTTGTGCAGCTGTTTTTAGCTGAAAATACTGTTTTAATAGCTAGAAAAATCAATCTCACAGTTCTATCAATTATGTATTTCCCTTGACTCCAATGTTTGAGGGAGAATACAAATGCCTACTGACAATTGTGAATTATAAGGACAAGTATAAATGGCCTCTTGCCTTCTCCCTCTCATATCATTGGACTTCTTTCCAAAGAGAATGATTTCACATACAATTACAATTGTATAAAGAATTGAGGGAATGTCAGTTATGTTGCTTTGTACATATTTTTAGTGATTGTTCAAGATCATGTTGATATACAAAGTTGTGCAGTATACATTTGGCTAATTATGTATGAATTGTAAACCATTTTTGGTGATGGTATGTGAGTAAGGGGGTTTATAGTTCAGTCTTGAAAAGTTAAAATAGGTGGGAGAGGTGCTTGTAGTATTTAACTTTTGATTAAGATTAGAAAAATAAAAATAAAATGATATAACTCTATCCCGTAGAGTAATATGGGGAAACGTATGTAGTCTGACATATTACAGTGTGGTTTTTTTTTTTTAAAGAGTATGGAAGTTGACTATTCTGATTCTCTGTGTAATACTTTCAGTAAAAATATATAAAACTCTCTTCAATGAAATGAGAAGTTTAAACTATGAAGAATGACTTGTAAACAATGTACATGATCTTTACCATTGCGATGTAAATCCTACCCAGTTACTTCATCTTATTTATGAGGAGACTAAAAAATGAAAATGAATTTGGGATTCTGTAGGGAATAAAAAGATGCTTTCTTTGCACTCCATTATTTTCTGGCGAGAGCTCACAAAAAGTTGGCATTTTTAAGCAGCTCTCACTGTTTTATGTCAACCAGTAACTTGGAGATAATTTTTTAAATCGCCAGAGGGCAGATAGTTGCCGAACTCCGATGTCCAGTGGGACTTGGACTTGATGACCCTTTTTATTATTTTGAAAATCTCCCCTTTCAGAACTTGTTTTTTATCTTCTAAAGTGATGATTCATTTAGAGGATGTGACTTTATAATTTAAACTAAGATTTCCATTCTGCAAGTGTTATTAGGGAAGGTTTTAAACAACATTTGAAATAAAAATAACATGGTTTATTATTATGAATTTGAATATCTAGATACCTTTAAATGGAATCGATAGCCTGAGAATAGCACATAATGCACTTATGTATTCAGTTTAGTTCAGTAAACAAATTGGAAATTAAGTATCAGTCAATTGAAACCAGCAAGTCACAGCAATTGTCATATGCTTAGACTGTGGTTGTGAAGTCAGAGAGATCTTGCAACTGCCTTGCATCATATATGTCAATAAACAAGCAGCCCATGTTGGTGCATTATACACAAATACTTCTGGTTTTGGGGGATTGATGGGATATTAGAAGGAAAATATAAGATCTATGTTCAGCTGACATTTTTCCAATGACTTACGGTCACTTTCTGTGTAATGAATTTCTAACGTATTTGACATTTATTCTGATATTGTTCACTAAGAAACGTAATTGTTTGTTATTATCTGGGATGAGAATTTTCATTTTAAGAAACTGTAGCAGAATTACTATTCATGGTCATAAGCAGTCAGTTACTTCAGTTCAATGCATTTTTCTTATTGTGCACTTTACACTCCTTCAGAATGAGCTTGTCACCCGAGTCCTTGATTGTCTGCTTCATAGTATTAAACTACAAAATGTTTTCTGTTTGACTCCTACAGTTCAAAGATTGAGCTGGCATGAAGCTTGAATTAAGCTTTAACTTTACTGCTTGTTGAAGTTTAAGGTTTGAGTTAATTGTTTTGCCATTGTAACAAAGCATGTTTTGCATTTGTCTGCTCTCTTTTTGTTTAAATAAACATCCAAGTTTTTGTGCATACATTGTTCTTTAAACTTACAAAGACTGTCTCCAAGTGGTGATTAGAGAGTCTTAATATTTTTCAGTAATTTCATGGAAGAATGAATTCCTCCTAGGAAGGACTGTACTATATGCTATTTCTGTATTAATGTTAAACTTAACATTCTTATAGCTCTGATTTCCCCTCCTCTCTTTCTGACTACAGCTTAGAGAATCTCTATC